TGGGTTTTTGGGATCTTGATTATTATATGTCTAGGTATAGATTTCTTTTGATCATGGCTATTTGGAGTCCTATATGCTTCACTTATCTGTATGTGAAATTCTTCACCTCTGTTCTGGAAGTTTTCTATCATTAATTCTGTGAACAGATTTTTTTATGTCATTTCAACTTGCTCCTGCTACTTTATGGATTCATATCAGTCTTATATTATTCTTCTTTGCATCATCTAAGAGTTGTTGGATTGATTTCTCATGATCCCTTATTGTTTTTGAGAGATCCTTCTTTTCTTTCTTGCTTTTTTTTTTCTCTCATTGAGTTTATTGGTACATTTTAGGTATACAGTACAGTTACATTCATTATTGGGACCTTGTACCTTTACATGACAGGTCTTGGTTCTCATTTCTTCCCCTTGTCCCTGCCCTCCATTCACCCCCTCTCTTCCCTTCACCATTTACAAACACTTTATTTCCATTTTTTCATTTTCTCATATATTTTTCCCTTATTACCTTTCGCTTACCCTTCCCACTTTCCCTACACCTTTAGTGGTTTTTTTCCTATTTCACATTATCAATTATATCATTAGGATCTTATGTACTATTATAGTTTTTCACACCAGAAAAACTATTCAGTATTTACATATGTGTGACTTATGTATTTCACTTAGGAGTATATCCTCAATATGTATCCATTCTCCTATGAATGACTCCAATTTCTCATTCTTTATGGCTGACTAGTATTCCATTTTATAGGAAAACCACATCTTCTTTATCCAGTATATAACTGATGGGCAAATGGGCTGTTTCAAAGTTTTAGCTATTACAAACTGTGCCACTATAAACATAGGTGTGCATATATCACTGTGATATGATTCTTTTAATTCATTTGGAAAGATACCCAGCAGAGGGATGCCTGGGTCAAATGGAACCTCTAGTCCCAGCTCTTTGAGGTATCTCCATATTGATTTCCATAGTGTTCGTACCAGTCTGCACTCCCACCAACAATGCAGAAGGGTTCCTTTCTCCCCACAACCCCACCAACATTTGCTAGTGTTTGATTTCTTGATAGCAGCCATTCTTTGTGGTGTGAGGTGGAATCTCTGTGCTGTTTTCACCTGCATCTCTCAAATGACCAGTGATGTGAAACATTTTTTCAAATATTTTCTTGCTGCTTTTACTTCTTTGTCTGAGAAATGTCTGTTCATTTCAGATGCCCATTTTTGAATTGGGCCTTTATATTTGGAGGGTAATTGTTTTGAGTTCTTTGTATATTCTAGATAAGAGCCCTTTGAGGAGCAGCTGGTAAATTTTTTTCTCCACATTGTAGGTTGCCTTTTAGTTCTGTTGATGGTTTCTTTTGCAGTGCAGAAGCATTTTAATAAGATGAGATCCCAGTTGTTGATTCTTTGTGCTAGTTCCCATGCTACTGAAGATTTGTTCATAAAGTCTTTTCCTATGCCAATTTCTTCAAGAGTTCTGCCTAACTTATTCCAACAAGTTTAGTGTTGCTTTTTAATATTTAGATCTTTAATCCACTTGAATTTTAGTTTAATGCATGGTGAAAGATAAAGGTCTAGTTTTAGAGAGATCCCTCTTTTCATGATCACTGACCACAATCCTATCTTCTATATCTGAAATTCTATCTTCACATTCATTCATTTTGCTGTGGATGCTTTGTATAGAGTTTTGAATCTCCTGCATATTTCTTTGAATCTGTTTCACGGATTCCATTTCTTTCCTATGCTGGGCATTCATGGTTTCCATCATGGTTCTGAGCTCATCTACTTTTTAACATCTATTTCTGTTCTAGAGTCTCTAATCATGTCTTTCATTCTTCTTACCATCTCTGTGGTTACCTGGGGAATTATTTGTTTTAAATTTTTCTAGAGCCTTATTTATCTGTTATCATTTCCACCAGAGTTTATTTTTGGTGAGGTGGAAGTCTGTGCTTGTGTTGTGTTTAAATATTTTCTCATTTCTATTTTTGTCATTGGTCCTCTCCTTGGTTTAATTCCTGGGTTAATACTTTAATCTTCCAGATATATCTGGTATTTAGGTTTTGAATTTCTGATTACTCTGAGGCAATTTCATTTTCATTATACCACGAAGGACAAATGATTAGATCAATCACAACACCTTAGTCCAAGTGATACAATCAGCAACACAACAGCATCAAGCACAGCTTAGAAAATAACAATTTATGGTAGTTCTTAATCTATCACCTTTAACTGTGTGAATCAAATCAAAAGACCAAAATATGTTTATAGTGAATAAACTCTTCAATATATCAACTTTACCCTTCAGGATGGGGATTTAAGAAGGAGTTGGGGAGGGAGCAATAGATAGATAGGATAGAGAAAAAGGTAGGAGTGAGGTCAGAGGACACAGGAAAATCACACAAACTCTAGGGAGCTGTTAAAGAGAAGAGGAAAAGACAGAATAATATACACAAGAATAGAACAAACTAACAGCAATAGGGAAGGTAGAGACTGTAATCACTTTCTTTTATAACTAATGGAAATTCATATTTAGGCCATATTCTTAAGTGAAATAAATAAGACACACATGTGTAAATACTGAATAGTTTCTCTGCTGTGAAAAACTAAAAGTGTAAATAAGATACAAATTTTATAACTGATAATGTGAAATAGGAAGAGAAGGGCTAAAGCTGTAGGGGAAAGGAAATAAGGGAGAAGAAAAAATATGAGAAAAGGAAAAAATGGAAACAAAGTCTTTGTAAATAGGGGAGGGTGGAGGGGGTGAAGGGAGGGCAGGGGTATAAGGAAAAAAATGAGAACCAAGATGTCATGTAAAGGTACAAGATCCCAATGATGAATGTAACTGTACTGTATACTTAAAAAGTACCAATAAACTCAATAAGATAAAAAATAAAACTAGTGGCAATTGAGAGAAGGAAAAAGAGAAGAAAGGGAAAAGAAAGAAAATAAATTTGAATGAGGATAGAAACAGGAGTGAAAAGGGAGAGTAATTGAGATCAAGGTGGGAAAGAGAAAGAGAGAGAGGGAAAGAAAAGAAGATAAGAAACAGAAGATTAAAAAGTGAAAAAATTTTGATAAAAAAGAAAAAAAATTAAAAATGATTAAAGATAAGAGAAAAATATTACTTTGAAATAAAAAATACAAACAGAAATGGAGGGCCTCCTTCAGCTTATGACTCTGTTGACACAATAGACAGTATGATCAGGAGTGTGCAGATCTAATTTAATTAGTCTCAGCAAGCCAGCAGCTGTACCCCCTGAGGTTCAGGCTGATTTCTTTCATCAAGGACCAAGTTGAGATCTCTAACCACTTGCTGGGTTGAACTCTGCAAGGTCCTACTACAGGTTCCAGCAGTCTTTCCTCTGAAGTTAGATCAGGTTCCAATGTGAGGTGCTGGTTACTTCAACTTATCAACTATGGTGGTGTGGTGTGTCTTTATTGCAGATTTTCTTTACCAGTGGGCTTCAATTTTCATCTAGGAGCCTCAGAGAGGCCCTCTTTCTCTTGTTTGGGGAGCAGGGCTCAAGCACCACTGTGTTGGTGCCTGCATGGCTGGGCTCCTAGGTGCACTGGGCTGAAGGGGTGGGCCTGCCAGAGAGTCGCCAGCTGATGAAGGTCCCCTCTGGCACACTGGGTGGAAGGGGCAAAACACATTTTATTTATCTAGTCTGGGCAATTGGTCCAAGTTTTAGCTATTACAAATTGTGCTGCTATGAACATGGGTGCACATATATCACTTTTAATTCTTTGGGGAAGATACCCAGGAACTGAATAGCTGGGTCAAATGGGACTTCCAATCCTAGTTCTTTAGGAAATCTCCATACTGATTTCCATAGTGGTTGCACCAGTCTACACTCAAACCAGTGGTGGAGCAGTGTTCCTCTTTCCCAACAGACCCACCAGCATTTCCTATTAGTTGATTTTATGATAGCAGCCATTCTTTCTGAGGTGAGATGGAATCTCACAAATTTGCATCTCTCAAATGACCAGTGATATTGAACATTTTTTCTTATGTTTATTTGCTATCTCTACTTCTTTGTCTGAGAAATGTCTGTTTATTTCAGCTGCCCATTTTTGGATTGGGTCTTTAAATTTGGGAGGTCTGATTTTTTTTTTTAACCAGGGATTGAACTCAGGACCTTGCACTTGTGAGGCAGGTGGCAGAACCACAGTCCTTGGAGGTCTCATTTTTAAAAGTTCTTTATGTATTCTAGAGTGTAGGCCTTTGTCTGAGGAACAGCTGGTGAAAATATTTTCCCACATTGTGGGTTGTCTCTTCACACTATTGGTTGTTTCTCTTGCTGTGAAGAAGCTTTTTAATAAGAAGAGATCCCACTTGTTGATTCTTTGTGCTAGTTCATGTGAAACTGAGGTTTTCTTAAGAAAACCTTTTCCTAAACCAATGGCTTCAAGAGTGTTACCTAACATCTCTTTCAGCTGATTTAGTGTTTCTGTTTTAATATTTATATCTTTAATCCATTTTGATTTTAGTTTAGTGCATGGTGAGAGACATAGGTCTAGTTTTAATCTTTGGCAAGTTGAAAGCCACGTTTTCTAGTACCATTAGTTAAAGAGGCTATCTTTCCTCCAATGAGGGTGTTTGGCTCCTCTGTGGAAGATGAGGTGGCTGAGTGTGTCTGATGGTGTTTCTGTATCTTCTAATCTGTTCCACTGGTCCTCAGGTCTGTTTCTTTGGCAGAACCTACTTTGTGGGGACTTGTTTAGCATAAACAGGACCCCAATGCAGATGTAGTGCCAGATTCAGGCATCTGTACCTGAGTGTTGAGTACAGGCGGAAGGAGGTTTCCTATGGATGTTGGCAGTTGTTGGTGACAGAGGGTGTCTTGACTGGCAGCCAATAGCGGTCTTTGTTCCCTAAACTGGAGGTGAGACAGCTGCCCCCTTTCAACAATTCACTAATTCTGTTACATCTGGAATAGAAACCCCAAATGGAGGAGACAGTGCCGGGAAGGTAAACGGTCTCATTGCTTCCTCCTATCTACTTACTGGCTTCTGGATACTGGTGGAGTTCACAGTGAAGTCACTTTTATCTTGCTTGAATACAGACAACAATTCCTCAGGGCAAGAATAGGAGGCCCATTCTTCTATGCTGGTTGGTAAATCTTCAAGCTGTTTGCTGGAAGCCGGAGTCTGAGACTGCAGGAGAGAAAGGAGGGTTTGCTCTAAAAAGTGGAGGTCAGAAATGGATGCCTCATTGAACCAGCTGTGCAGTGGACAGTCGGTGACCTTGTGAAGACAGTACTCCTGCAGCACAGCCTTGGAGATGGTGACTGTACTGTGTTGCACAACTGCCCTCTCCCTGGAGCCCCATAGGACACAGCTTTGCTTTACTTCCTGCCCTGTATCCAACCTTGATGAGTGCCACATCAGAGATACATTTGATTTTATTTCCAAAATGCAGCTTCCACCTCACTTCCAAGAGGTAAAAACTATGCTTTCTCTCCCTCAGCACTCAGAACCCAACACTGAGGCTTGGCAGACTTAGAGGACTGGAGGATGGGTACTTGTCCCTCATCCCAGAGTCCAGCAAGCCAGCAGATATGTGGTTTCTTAGCCCGGCTTCAACAGTGGGGAAAGCCAATATTATCAGGGTGAAATGTATCCCGTGGTTGTATTACTGGCTCGCATGTATGAAAAGGCCAGGACCCTAGGACCCCAATAGACTCTGCCTGTTGCCCACAGCTTCTGAGTCAGCAGATGGGTTGTATGTTTGTGCAAATGTTGTGGTAGGGGGCTCACTCCAGGCATGGGGGGTAGGTTACTGCAGAATCATACTGGGAATGAAGTCACTGCCCTCATTTTACAGAAGAGGAAACTGAAGGACAGAGGTGATCATAAGGCCTGTGAGCCTGGTCCATGGCCCTCACCCTCTGCCTTCCATCTCTTTGAGTATGCAACATGACCTGTTTCACATCCTTGCCCTTCTTCCTCACCTTCTCCTCTTTCCCTTTCTCCTTCCCTTTTTCCTTTTCCTTCAGCTTCTCGTCCTTCTCCTTTGTCTTCTCCTTTTCTTTTTCTTTCTCCTTTTCTTTACTTTTTTCCTTCTCTTTTTTAAACAATGATAGTTGTGAACTGGTTGCTGCTAGAATTCTTTCTGAAATTAATTTTCCTCCTGTTAACAAAGAAATCTGGGGGAAAATGAAATCCGTATTGGTAACATTAAAAACAGACCCAGTGCCCACCTCCTGCCATACCTGGTTGGAAGAGAGTATCTGGAGCTGATAGTGTTGCTCAGCCCTGGTCGTGGCTGGTAAGCCCCCCTGCAGAACAGAGCTGACTCCCCACCAGTTGCTCAGTACCCAGTGGTTGCCCACAGTAGGAGCCCTTGTCGACATGGGGATACAGTCTGCACTCCCCAACTGGGGACCCAGCTGAATGTGCTCAGTGTGGAGGTTTCCTGTGGGCAAACTTATGACAGTCCCTATGGACCTCTTTCTGGGGACCAGGCCTCGGCAGGGCTAATGGTGGCTTCCCTGTAGAACTCTCAATGGGCAGGGGCTGCAGGACATAGTAGGCCTTGGGTTAAACCTATGCAGCTTTGGATGAGGTGTCATGAGGAGTAGGCATAGCCGTCCTCAAGGAGGACCTACTCTCCTCAAAAGGACCTTCTCTAAATGATTTTGTTATGGTCTCTAATGAAAAATGAATGGTGGAAAGGGTCTTTTTGGAGGTTGAGCCTGAACACTGGGGAAATGGATAAACTACTCATTTTTTTCTCACAGCTAAGGGGCACCCCCTTGTTCCTCAATACCCTACTGGGGATGTATGAAAACACCTGTTCTGATGGGCATTGCTCCTGGGGTACATAGGTGATCAAGTGCCCCACAGGAAAAGGTGCAAGGGAAGGACTACAAGGTAGCCCAGCATGGGTGGAGGTGAGAGACAGAAGGTCTTAAAAGCCTTTAGGCTGTGAGAGGATAGGAAGACTTGAGCTGAGGCAGTTTTGGGTAATGGCTGGGCAGGGTGCTAGATAGATTTTGGAGAGCAGGGGGGGCTGATTTGGGGGGCACAGTGATTTGCTTCCTTTGAGGAGCTCCAAGAACATGGACCTGGCAAGGTCAGGAGAAATGCAGATGGGACAGTTAGGAAGGCAGGAAGAATGTGGACATCACAGGACTGATATGTGTTTATTTCAGGGGTCTTTAGAAAATTTTGGGAAAGGCTTTGATTTCCTTTAAAAATACTGTTGCTCACAGAACTTTACTGTTTTCTGGATATTATTCTTTTCTTTCCTTTGTTTTGTTTTGTTTTTAATGGAATGTGCTGAATGTCTATAATTTTGTTCCAGATGACTGGAAAAGCTGATGCTGCTATAGATGCATAACATACTGCTATTATTAGTCTTTTTCTATAAATATAAATATATATACATATATTTATAAATTGAATTTTGGGAAACTTTAATGGTGCTGCCAACTTTGGAAAAAGTCAACCCAATTTACTGTGTGAGCTGGCACTGTACAGAAATGGACAGCCATACTGGCCTAGAAATGTTAATTTTTTTTAATTTTTAATTTTTATTTTTTTATTCCATGTGTACAGGGGTAATGCATTGTACTAAATATGTAAGATCGTATCTACGTGGGTTTGATTACAGAAACTAATAAAGTATTCTCTAAGTAATGATAAAAAGAATAAGATAAGACTACAAGAGCAAGAAGCAATTTAAATATGTTCAGGGACCATTTTCATCTTCAGAATTAAGGATTATTTTAATGTTACATCATTGCCTTTTCTCTTTTACTTTCTTTTTTAGTTTTATTTTAGGATTCCCTATTTTTAATGTTCATACAGAGATTTCTTTAACTGAAATACTGAATAGTTTCTCTGATGTGAAAAACTATAATAGTACACAGGATCCTAATGAGACCATTAATAATGTGAAATAGGAAGTAAAGGGCTAAAGGTGTAGGGAAAGTGGGAAGGGTGGGGGAAAGGTAGTAAGGGAGTGGAAAAACATATGAGAAACTGAAAAAATGGAAACAAAGTGTTTGTAAATGGGTAGGTGAGGAGGGGGTGAAGGGAGGGCAGGGACAAGGGGAAGAAATGAGAATCAAGACCTATTATGTAAAGGTACAGGATCCCAATAATGAATGTAACTGTATTGTATACCTAGATTGTACCAATAAACTCAATAAAAAGAAAAAAAATACTGTTGCTATTTTCCAAAGGAAAATGCCAATGTGAGTCCTACAGGTACTGGCCCCAGGGAGGGGAAAGTGGGGCAGCAGTGCCCCCATGGAGCAGCTCGGCACCTCAGCTGTCTTACCTGCCAGATGCGCCTGAGAAAGGTGTAGGCCATGAGACAGTCATCCTCGTAGGCAGAAGAGCTGGGGGACACCATCAGGGCTCGTAGGATGTGTGCCCGGGCCAGGGTTTCCAACTGTTTCACGTTTTGTAACTGCTCCAAGGAGAGCATGTCCATGTCTTGGGTAACAGGCCCTTCCTCAGGTATCTGAACAGGTGAGTATTGCCCTATACAACAGGATTGTCCACAGCTCAGGACAGGCCGGAATCACCACATGGGAACCAGGTCATCCCTCTCTTTCCTGGTGATTTGCATGTGTCAACCCAGCCACGAGTCCTCCCAGGCCCTCCTGACCCTGCCACACTCCATGTTCTCTGCCTGTCCTGGGCTGTTTGCCGGTAGACAACCATCCGAGCCAGTTACTCATCTGAGCAATTCCTCCATGTCTTCTAGGCCTTGAGAGGCAAGAGGCCCATCTTCTGGGAAGCAGAAGGCTGCTGGCCCCAGGCCTGGTGGGTGGGTGGGGTATCCTGTGCCCCTGTGGCCTACCCTTGGACTAGCTGAAGTGGTGAGCCATGAGCTGTCGCTGTGGTTTCTATTTGGCTGGTTTGGGTTGGGCTTCTGGGGCCCTGACTTGCTAAACATGTGGGCTGGATGCTGAGTGGATGGTTCACATGCTTCTCTGGCACATAATGGGGTGCTGTCCCTGGAACTTGCCTCTTCCTTTGCCTGACTTCTGCAAGGCCAGGTTACAGATGGTTTAGAACCTGAAGAGGGTGCCAAGGACCCTGTCCTGAGGCCTGTGTCACCACACCCTGCTGCATGGAGACCAGACCCTCGGGGCTTGTCTGCCTTTCTTGGTGAGACTGCTATTTTGAGAGACTATAGCTCTACTTCCTTGGTCAAGGCTGAGGTTTGTCATGCTTCAACTTTTCACAGAGCTGCTCAGGTACCCCCAGACTGCCTCCAGAGGGCCCTGGGATCTGCTCCTAAGGCAGGGCACCTTAGTCTCTACAGCAATGGCTCCCTTTCCTGTCCTAACCCATATGTCTAACCACTTCTTTGAGGGCCTGAGGACTCTGAGACTGACTTTCTCGCCATCCTTAAGCAGGCTCAGGCCCAGTGACTACTGGGACAGTGGCACTGATGAGATCAGCATTGCCCAGCACTTCTGGGAGACTCTGAGCCTGCCTGTGAAAATAATCTGACAGTGGTGAGACCGGCTGCTCCCTACCCTATGGAAGTGGGTTAGAGCCCACTCCCCAAGTTCAAACAGAGTTTCTCTAGGTCAGCTTGGCTCTGGGAACATTCTTTGTTGGTTACAACAGCAGCACACTCCTTGAACACAGAATAGGTGTGGCCCCACAAGAACAACGACCCTGCAAAGTGAAGGGTCCATGGGAAGCATCCTTACCTTCTGATGAAGGTTCCAGCTTGGAGACATCTCCTGAGGGTTTCATGGCCAGCAGGATGTCAATTGCCCATGTGAGCTGGGAGATCACATCTTCAAAAGGAAACTGCTTGTGGTACAGCCACTCACTGAACTCCATGATATAGTCAATCTTTTGCCACTCACTCTCTGGTTTCTTTGGGACAAGACAGAAAAACATGTTAAAGGGTCTGCCCTAAAGGAACTTGCATTGAGGAAGTGATCTAGGGTATGAAATACTCTGCCAGATCACAACACTATATAGTTACACTGGAGCACACTTCTAAGGATACTGGTTTTGTCATCAAGGCTCTTAGAGATCTCCAATTGTAGACATATGTGTTAGGAAGTCCTCCAGCCCTCAGTTCCATTTACAGGCACCTGATGCCCACAGTCTCTGTTTCTTCATGCTCCCCAACCTCTCACAGTGTCTCTTGCACCACAGAAGATGCAGTGTTGGACTCTAACAATCCAGCCTTGTGTGTGTGGGTCTTGCCTGGATCATTCAGGAGTTAGACTTATCTCCCAAGAGAGAAAGGACAAGGAAAAGGCAGCCCAAATCCTGATACAGCATATATTTAGCCAATGATAAGAGAGGCACCATCCCAGCTCTGAGCCTGGTGCTAACAAATGGCACACTGACTCCATTGCACACTATCTTCCTTCCCAGGTCTCTTCCTGGACTGAGGAGCTGCACCTGGTATAACTCCCAAGGCAGGTCACAGCCCTCTCTGTATACTTGCCTGTGTATTCAATCCATAGACACCCATGGGAGGAAAATATGTGTCAGGCTTCTCCCTCGTGGGGCTCAGAGTATGACCACTGAACAGAAAGACCAAATATAGTGGGTGGAGTGGCAATCCTTGACAGCAATTGGAAGAAGTGAGTAGGATCCCAGGGCATCTAGGGAAGAGAGCACCTAGATGTGGGCCTTGATGTGAGCCTCCCTGTGGGAGGACCATGACTGAGGTTCAGTGGGAGTGGGCTGAGAGCCTGCAAGTCAGGCTACCGTGTGATGACTCAAGAGTGCAGAGGGGTCGGCTCTGTACCGTTGTCCACTGCACAGTGCCAGGAAAGAAGGCTGGTTAGAGGCTGTTATGCAATGCTGGAGTGGGAACCAGGTGACAAGTAGTGGTTTAGCCTGGGTATATTTGAGGGTGGAGCTGATGACAGAGTATATGATAGGAAGATATGGGGTGTTAGTGTGGGTTTGGGTGTGAGGGGGTAAGTCCATTAAGTAGGGAAATAGCTGACCTCATCTAGAAAGGAGGATGACAGCAGGGAAAGCAAGGAGTTGGATCCAGGTCTGAAATGTGGTCAGATGAAGGGCCAAGCAAGTGGCAGATATACAGTTCTAGAGGGTCTGAACTGGAGACTCACTGTGGGGAGAACTAGTGTGGTCCTGGCTTGTAGCTAAGGGCACTAGGTTAGATCGCCAAGGATATGAAGGTCCAGAGAAGGGGTGAGGCCCAAGCCTTAGTCCAGGCCCTCCTCCCTTAAGAAGAGGAGAGTAAGGTTTGAGCCAGCCAGGGAGTGAAGCCACTGAATAATGGAGGGAAGTACACCCCTATGAGGCCCAGAACCAACTAGAAACACTGTTAGTGGCTTTGAGGAAAGCTGTACAGGTGTGGGAAGGGGCAGGGGCTTTGATGGAGGGGTTCAGGAGAAAACAAATAATCCTTTCAACATGTATTGCTGGGTAACTAAGGTGTTCACAGGTTAAAGAATGAAGCTGGATCCCTGCCTCACACCATATGCACAAAGTCAGAATGGATCAGTTTCCTGAATGTAAAGAGCTAAAGCTGTAGAACTCCTAAAATAAAATAGGATCACATGTGTCTTCTGAGATAGAGTACCATTACCATAAACAAAAACAAAAAAAGAAAGAGATAAATTGGACTTCATCAAAATTAAAAACTTTTATGGTAACAATAAAGTGAAAAAGTGGTTGAAAATACAACCTGTGAAATGAGAGAAAACATTTGCAAATCATATATTGATAAGGGACTACCATCCAGGATACATAAGGAACTATTACAACTACATGTTCAAAGGACAGATAACTGAGTTTTAAAAATAAACAAAGGAAGGTGGTAGAATGCTACATAGCAATAATTCACCCTCTCCAAGATTTGGAATCTGGACACTAGAAAGAAGAGAAAGGAGGGAGGTAGATCCCTGGGACCAGGAAGAATCTGAAGGGAAAATCCAAGCATATGGGAGGAAGGAAGGGGCAGAAGCAATCTGTACTTTATCACTGATTTCTGGATTATAACAACAGAAAGGAAGTCCAAATTTACAGAGACACAGTGAAAGTGGGTGACTCCAAAGGCTCTCAGGGAGAAACACAGCAGTAGGAAAGAGCAGTGGAGATTGTGCCCTATAATAGCTGGAAGTGATTCTAGTCCAAGCAACTGCCATATTTCCTGAGAGGGAGCCTGGTCAGACTCCATTTAGGGAGGTGCCAGCTGAACTGGAGACTCAGAGCAGCTGCAGGATGCCTTTATCTCAGGGCTTCCAGTGTTAAACCTCCATAGTGACTGGGAGATGTCAACGGTCAGGGAGCTGCGGTCAGGCTGGCATGAGACACACAGAGTGTTATAAGATAAATGACTCAGGCCCCACCCCTACAACCAGAGGTCAGGTTCAGTTTGAATTTCTGTGGATTTAAAAGTTCCAAGTCAGCACACTGCCCTAATCCTACCACCAGCTCACTAGGATTATCCCGCACAGGTCTGGGATCTAACTACCTCGCTTGTATAACAATGAGACCAGAATCACACCTTGGATTAGACACTGCCACAAAACTGTAGAACCCAGAATATAACCACAGGTTTGTATCACAGAGAAATTCTTTTATTTTTCTTTGCTAACTGGTCTTTTACATTTGTTTTGTTCATTTAGGGTTTTTTGAATACTTGTTTTAGTTTTTTGTGTGAATATTGTTTTTAGTTTTATTTTCTCCTTATTTCCTTCCTTCCTGTCTTCTTCACCAGTTTGCTGAGGCTTGGAGAGTCTTTTGACCTTCAGCCCTGCTTCTAATCTTTTTCTTTTTTCATTTCTTTCATTTTTTTCCTCTTCTATTTTTAATTTTTCCCCCTTAGGGTAAATTGCTCCACTGAATGAATATTTATTGTATATAATTTTTTGATTTGTCTTATATTTTGTAGTAAAACTATAAATTTTGTACCTGGAGTTAAAGGTAGTAAAGGCAGTAAATTATTAGTTTGTCATTTTCTGGTCTGTGTTTATGCTATTTTTATTACTGATTGTACCACTGTACCCAAGGTGACATAATTGTTGTGATTAATTGGTCTTCCTTGTTTGCCAATACCTAGATTGTCTAGGGATTATAAACAATGCTACACCCTAGTACCAAATAACTGGGTGTTAGGCCAAATAGGCTGCAACCTTTCATCCCTAATAAATAGAAGAGGCTGGATCCTGGGACAGACTCAAAGGCCAAAAAGCCAGCTACACCTAGAAGACATCTCTGAAAAGTAGTCATTTCCTTAAGAGGTCTTGATATTACTAATAAAGCTACCTATCATAAGCAATTCACAAGCCTCAACACAGAAAACAAATAAATAACAACAACAAAAAAAGAGAAAACATGGAAGCAAGATGCAACCCAATACCTCCCTCCAACTCACTCAAGGCAAATCCTGTGGGAATTGAGGTGGAAGAAACAAAAAAACAAAACACTCAAAAACCAAAACAAAAAACAACAAACAAACAAAATTTCCTGAAATGGTAATAGCAGAAGTAAAAAAGCAGATGAATAACTCTCTTGACAAAACCAAAACAGAAATAATTACACAGATAATTAGAGATGATGACTAAAATGGAGGAAATGGTTAGTGAAACAAAGCACATACAGATTAAAAAATAGTAAAGCTTAAGAAAGACAGGAAAACCATGAATGACAAACACAGAGAAGAAATAGAATCCATGAAACAGATTCAATCAGATATACAGGAGATTAAAAATTCTACTAAGAATATACACAGCAGAACCAAACAATGTGAAGATAGAATATTAGATCTAGAAGACAGGATTGCAGTTGACAATTACCAAATGAAAGACTTCTTAAAAACAGCAAACAACCATGAAAAAAAAAATCAATTCAACAACTGCTAGATGATGCAAAGAAGAGTGATATAAGATTAACTGTAAACAATGAAAAATCAGAAGATAGCACAAAGGACATAAAAAACTTGTTTACAGAAGTAATAGCAGAAAACTTTTCAAGCATGGAAAAAGAATTTACAATGAAATAAGTGAGGCATATAGAATGCTAAATAGCCACAACCAGAAAGAAAAAAACTACACCAAGGTATAAATAGTCCAGATTCTAGAAATTCAACACAAGAACAGAATATTAAAAGCTGTTAGAGAAGAGAAACAAATCACTTATAAAGGAAAGTCCATTAAAATCACAGCAGACATCTCAACACAAACCCTTAAATCAAGGAGTGCTTGGAGCAAAGTATTTTAAGCCATAAAAGAAAACAAACTCCAACCCAGATTGGTATATCCACAAAGTTATCTTTCAAAATTGATGGAGAAATATGAAACTTCCATGATAAAGAATACCTGAAGAAATCAATGATCACCAAACTAGCATTCCAAAATATTCTGCAGGGCATTTCAGAAAAAGATAATGAAGATAATAATTTCAAGAATTCCAATAAAATGATTCCATCAGGCAAGGTAAGCAATTAAATAAAAGGGGAAAAAAGGGAACCAACAACAGGAAAATGATATAATGACAAGGATAAGTCAATATCTATTAGTCATAACCATCAATTTGAATGGTCTCAATTCACCAATCAAATGAAACAGACTGCCAGAATGGATCAAGAAATGAGATCCAACAATACATTGCATAAAAGAAACACATTTAACTCATAAAGAAATTCAAAGACTTAAAGTCAAAGGATGAAAAACAATGCTCTATGCAACAGGAAATGGGAAAAAAGCAAGGGTGTCCATTCTATTTGCAGACAAAGTGGATTTCAAGCTAAGACTGCTCAGAAAAAACAAAGATCACTAGATCCTTATTAAGTGAATAATCAAAGAGTAAGATAACAGAAGGAGAACCACACCTGCTCCTGACCCAGCTGCCATCACTCAAACGCTGGGAAGGTAGCCGCA